CTACAACTACTTGAAAGGACACTGTAGAGAGGTTGGTGCTGATCTCTTCTCACAGGTAATTAGTAACAGAACGAGAGGGAATGGCTTCAAGCTCCAACGGGGTAGGTTTAGACTAAACATTAGGAAAGAGTTTTTCACAGAGTAGTCAGGCATTGGAAGAGGCTCCCCAGGGAGGGGGTTGAGTCACCATCCCTGAATGTGTGTAAGAGTCATTTAGGGTGTTGAGGGATATGGTGTAGGGGAGAACTTTGTAGAGTAGGGTTGATGGTTGGACTCGATGATCCCAAGGGTCTGTTCCAACCTGAATGATTCTATGATTCCCTTCCGGCCGGGCGGTAGGGAAACAGGGGTAGAAGGAACTAAAAAGAGCAGACAAAGGTTGTTTTCCTGTCACTTTTGTGCTTTCTTCCCCATTTGTGCTGCTGGTCCCTCAGGGGGGGTTGGGGGGAGTAAATCTGCTCAGTCTCTAATTAATTAGAGTCGGTGGGATCCCCCCATGCCACCTCCCCAGTTACCCCTGTTACCCCTAGCGTTGCTTACTCCTTGTGTTGCAGCAGTTCTGCCCTTCCATGGGGCAGGGTGTTTCTTCTTTATCAGCAAAGCCGGCAAGTTTATACAGCGTGGTCGGTCTTACACAATGCAGTATTTGTCATTAGCATTCAAGTGATAATCCCCCTTATATTTTGCATCGGTCCACAAGCTGGTGAATAGGACCCAACAGCCTATTCCTTCAGGGAAAGGAATATGCTGAGCAGATGGAGGGGATGATGGAGGGAAGCCCTGGTCCTGGTGGGAGGAGCAGTTTTGCTTTGATATTCGGTCTGCCAGTGCGTGTTGGGTGGCATCTTGAATGGAGGTATTTCTCTTGACTCTTGGACGGGCCGATCCATCGCAGTGTTGGGAACCCTCTCCAGATGCTCTGCACACATTTGCCTCTTGCACAGTTTCACCTGGTCACAGCTTACCCAAAATGTTCTCAACAGATTTTTAATGTGGAGTAATAAGTTGGTTTATGTATGCCTTAATCACCCCATTTGTCTATGGTAAATGTGATTTGTACAGGGAAGTACAGTCTTAAGGAATAAATTACTAGATCTCTTGGTTTTCTGATAGTACTTAATACTGCATCAAGCCGTTTATCTCCTTCTATTTTCTCCTGCTTTCCTTTCTCTGTCACACATCTTCTTTGCAGTGAGATCCCTGCGGTTTGAAGAACATCACTTCTTGCGTTGGTGAGTGTTACTGTGCTCCTCACCCTCAGTGCTGCAGCCTTTCCCTCTGTCCTGTCACAATTCCTGCTCGTGAGTCTTTGTTAAATGGATTCCCCCTTCTGCACAGGTGATGGGACAGCCTTCGCAGAGAGAGGGGTTGGCTGGCTGTACAAAAGGCATATTCCAATGTTTTAAGAAATTAAAAATACTGCTCCCTGACTCAAATACTCAGAGGACTTGTCCTCTGAAGAGTTTATGGACATTTTGGTGGGTCTTGTACACATCAGAGCACAGAGCAGCTCCGCTTGGCCTGTGTGGTGGGTTCAGACACAGCAGCCTGTCCCCAGGGCTGTGCCAGGCATGGGGGGATGCTGTCCCAGGCCCTGCTTGCTGGTACATGGCTGTGCTGTGGAAATGTGTTTCTGTGTGCCGCTAGATTCTGTCATTGTCACTCTTCTCCTCTTGTTCCAGGCCTGTGAGCGTATTTCTCTGTGGACACGTTTTCCTGAATGTATATCTGCTCTATACCTTCCCCAGAGACAGGAGGTTTCCCCTTGTTCTTCCTTCCCTCTGTTACACAAGTAGTTCATAAGTGAGAAGAATATCAGTCTCCGACACCTTTTTTTAAGGAAGGAGCAGTGATGTGTGTATCTGCACTGGCCACATGCACGGGCTGTGAGTGCCCGGGGGCACATCCCAGTAAGGCACAGGGAGGTCGAGCCGTTCCAGGGCTGGGTCTGGATGTCCCCACTCTTCCCATTTCATGAGTGGGGTGTAAGACGTCTGCCTGTGGCAACTGCTTTGTGACTGAAGGCAAGTCCTTGCTTTCAGAGGAGTGCGTAACCTAAATGTGAGCACCTCCTTTCAGACACATAAATCATTTCCTCAGTGCCTAATTAAGGCCTCGGGGGTCAGATATCCAGTGGTGCTTAAGAGATAGCTACACTCAGTGGGAGCTATTGTGAACATTAAATGGTGTGGAAGAACAGTGTCCCAGAATAGTCAAATCACGAATATGTCAAGTTATGCAAAATTACATCAACTTTTTAGAGGACAAGTGGGACGAAAGGGGTGGTGGTGCTTCACCCTTAGTTTTGCCCTTATAATATCTTGTTCTCAGCTCTCAGGAAAATACAGATTGTGAATATTTTCCTTTCAGAAATGTGAAATGAGATTAAATAGGTCTACTCTATTTAACAGGATTTGATTCACAGCAGAACAAATTAACTGGAAACCATTGCTTAGAGGACTGGCATCGTTCTGGTGAATGTTAATGTGTTTGTAATTTTGTTTGTGCGAGGTAAGAATATAATGGAATCCACAAATTGAACTTCCTTCTTGTTTATCTGCCTTTTGATGCAGGGAAATGCTTCTTATGATATTATATGTATGTAATGTTAAATGGTGATGAGAATAATAAATTGTTATATTCCTATGTTTATATAGTAAGATACTGCTTATTATTAAATTGTATTATAACTGCAATTATAGTATTGGGATTTGTATTTGCTCTGAAAGGTAAGTTTAACTTTTTTTTTTAAGTGAGGGCTTTTCTTAAGAAATTTACTTTGTTCATCATTGGTTTTACGTTTTTT